AAAGCCTTAACTCTTGTCTTGCAGCGTGTGTGATAAGAGTAGTGATGCCCTGTCCCATACAAGCCCTTTGTTACAGGCTTGTTGTAATGTTAATCTAAGTCCTGCCTAGCAGAGCTGTTACAGGCCTGTCTTTGGGGTTTATGTGTTGAGAGATGTTCGACATCTGGGTATTGTTTCACGTATTAGAGATTAGACAGAGCAATCTTTGTGGCATGTATCACTAATTTTTCTGCATGTGTCCTTTCTGTGCACTGTTTGTGTCTCAAACTGATTTAAGAAACTCAAGTCTTGGCTTTTCTTCCTTGGACATACAAGTGTTTGCTAGTACCGTTTGCAGCAGAGTGCTGACCACGTCTCACAGCTGCACTCTGTGACGTCAGTCCAGGCACTGTACGGTGCATTTTTCTTGTTCTTTTGGAAAGATTGATTTCTCTTTTTTTCCTTTCAACTCCTTGATCTTTATTCTTAACAAGTTACCTTTGTGATGCTACTTTATAAAAAAACAAAACAAACCAAAACAAAAAAAACATTCCAACCCAAATGTCTAGTGCCTTTCTTAGGGAATGCTGCATTGCTAGGCTGGATCTGAGTATCCTTCCCTCTGTGAAAATGAAGACCCTGAACTAGACAAGCTGCAACGATGCCTCTGGGCACAAGACTGCTGAAAAGAAGGTGCAAGATGGGCAATTGTCACTTCAGCTATGACACTGTGTTTTGTAGCATTTCAACTGTGGAAGTTCCCTACTTTACCCGTTACTAGCAGTGACTCGTCTGGCCTGGTGCTCTGCCAGGTTTGGTAGGAAGACTGTAGAATCGTAGGACAGGATTGGTTTTGTAACAAAATAGGAGTTCTGCTTATACAAAATCCTGTTTTTCCCCCTACCCTGGACACAAAGCGAGAGTAAACACTTTGTACATTAAGAGCTGGGCACAAAACATGTGGAACCCTGCGAGCTGCGTCTCTGCCCGGCGAGCAGCAGGGAGCTGTGGAAAGCAGGCAGGTTTCCTCTGCGCTGAGCGGGGTTTCCAGCTGACTTAGTATGTCCAATGCCAAGTGGGAGTCTGAAATGAGATGTATCCTGCCAGGGACGTGGTAAAACTTGTCTGCTGCACCGCCCGCGTGTCTCTCTCTGGAAGTGCTGCAGCTTGAGACATGGGAACCAGCGGACTCGCTTTCGCTATAAACAGCTTTTCTGCATGCCCTGCACTGAGCCTGTATCTTGGGGGAGGCTCAGAGTACAGCATGTTGCTTCCTGCACTAGACTGACTGCATTACTGTAGCTAATCCTGAGGCAGGGTCATTACTGTAAATGTATTTTTTTCAGTTGAGCAAGAAAAAAATGCAACTCCCGGGGCACTTTCTTAAAGGTGCCACTTTAAAAATTATTGGGGAATAAGGACACTTATTTTTAAAGTTCCTGAGAGAAATGCTTTCTGAAATTCCCAGTGGGGGAGGAACAGTTGTTCTTTCTCTTGAATGACAAATACCAATTTGTAAAATATCAGTGTTAAAATGTTGAGATTTTCACAAAATATTTTAAAAAAGTATAATAGTGTCATTAATATAAAAATATAATAGCAGTATTTAATCCTTTCAGATCTGTAAAGAATAAGGAAAAACAGAAGGTAAATATTCTTACAGAGAGTAGCTGAGCTTTAAGGTTCACTTGGATTAAATTCCTCATTTTGTTTGCAGATGCATTGTTAATGTTTAGAGGTTATACTAATGTTATTTATTAATTGTTTCCATTCTTGTATGCTGCCCACTAAGAGCTTCTTTGTTTGGGATTTCATTCACCTGTGTCAGTAAAAAGAAAACAAAACAAAGTTTTATTTTTAAATAAAATTTCCTTTGTTGTAGCATATCGTCTGTGTTGCGTAGATTCTGTGAGCTCTGGAAAAAGATTATCTGAGTCAAGACTGTCTTAGTCATCTTGTTCAGGGTGCCTAAGCCTGGGATGCTTACTCAGCCTGGCTTTGGACCTAGTTTAACTATTACCATAATCATCTGTTAAATTCAAATTCACATAATGGATATTAACAAACAGAGCGCAGGGAAGCTTTATACAAATTTTGTAGTAAGAAGTCAATTGATAGGGTTAATGTTTTGTTACAGAATCAATTAATAGAGTCTATAATCCGTGAAGACCTATTAGGGAATTACTGAAACAGGTCTGTTACCCCCCAGGAAGAGCAGCTAAAGGAGTCCAGAGCGGGATGGTGCAGGCTAATGGGTTCTGCGGTGTCCTCTTTGACCCCAGGTAACTTCATTTGGCCTCACATCACCGGTTCAAGGCCTTGAATGAACTGAGGTGACCCCATGATGCCCTCATTTGACCCCATTTCACCTCATTTGACCTCACGTAGTCGTTTTGAGGGGTTGTTTGACCTCAGGTGACCCCATGATGCCCTCATTTGACCCCAATTCACCTCACTTGACCTCATATAGTCATTTCGAGGGGTTGTTTGACCTAAAGTGACCCCACAATGCCCTCATTTGACCCCACCGTGTCCTCATTTAACCCCAGTTCACCTCATTTGACCTCACGTAGTCATTTCAAGGTGTCGAACGACCTGAGGTGACCCCAAGATGTCCTCATTTGACCCCCAATTCACCTCATTTGACCTCACATAGTAGTTTCAAGGGGTTGTTTGACCTCGGGTGACCCCACGATGCCCTCATTTGGCCCCTCTGTGTCCTCATTTGACCCCAGTTCACCTCATTTGACCTCACTTGAACTCACATCACCGTTTCAAGGCGTCGAATGACCTGAGGTGACCCCACGATGCCCTCATTTGACCCCACCGTGTCCTCATTTGCCCCCAGTTCACCTCATTTGACCTCATACAGTCATTTCGAGGGGTTGTTTGACCTGAAGTGACCCCACCATGCCCTCATTTGACCCCTTCGTGTCCTCATTTGACCTCATTTCATAGAATCATAGACTGGCCTAGGCTGGAAGGGACCTTAGAGATCATTTAATCCAGCCTCCCTGTTGCGGGCAGGGACGCCTCTCAACTAGATCAGGCAACACATGGGGACCGTTTCAAGGCCTTAAACGACCTGAGGTGACCCCATCATGCCCTCATTTGACCCCTCTGTGTCCTCATTTGACCCCACTTAACCTCATTTGACCTCACATCACCATGTCAAGGCCTGAAATGACCTGACATTACCCCTCTGTGTCCTCATTTAACCCTAATTAACTTTATTTGACTTTGAGTCGCTGTTTCTAGGGCTTCTACAACCTGAGGTGACCCCCTCCATGGGGTCTCATTTGACCCCACCGTGTCCTCATTTGATCCCCTTGTCCTCATTTCATCCTGATTAACCTTATTTGGTTACAGCTTCAAGGCCTTGTACGACCTGAGGTGACCCCGCCGTGTTCTCTTTTGACCCCAGTTAACTTTACCTTCACCTAAAGGTGGGAGCGCTGTCGGTGCCACCCAGCTGGGATAAGCTGCACCTTGGGAAGGAAGCCTAGAAATCAAGTGGGGACTGAGGGAAGACATTCTGCCCTCACCATCACAGTGGGGCTGCCGCTAGAGGGAAGAAATTCACAACCTGGCTTTGAACTTGGTCCTTTATTTTCACATATGTAAAAAAAAAAAAAACAAACCTTGCAAGTATCAGAACAGAACAAAACTTCTGGAAATTTACACACAATCCAACAAAAATATATATATAAACCAAAGCTTTTGCTTCAACACCACTTGTAGCTCACGAGTATAGCTCACTGCTTGTTAGGGTGCTGGGCTGCTGCACATCTCCCTGCTCCTGGAGGAGGATGTTGGGGTGCGCAAGGGGGACACCTCTTCCCTGTTGCCCAGGGTTAGCCTCAACCCCTCGAGGGCGAGGTGGAGACAGGCTGGTGGACAGCAGAGCACTGAGAGTACATAACTTAAGAGTCAGGAGCGGCTGCAGGGAGCTCCTCTGCCTGGGAGGAGAGCCCTGTTTGCAGGTGCAGGGCTGGGACAGGCCACAGCAGCAGAAGCGAAGGGCAGGCTGCTTCCCCGGCTCCCCTCTCCACCACTCGGCTGCTCTAACACCAGCCTGGCTGTGGCGCCAGAGCTGCCACCAAAGAACAGAAATAAACCGCTTTTACCTGGGGCTAGTAATTGTTCAACACAAAAAAAGAAAAAAACAAACCCTGAGATATCGCCGACTGGCCCTGACCTAATATTCTTTATTTTTAAACTGGGGAGGAGGGGTGTGGCTGTGGGACCCACTGTTGCCAGCAGCTGCACAGCTCCTCTCAAAGCAATCCAGTTCCCTGGGGAGTGGGGAGAGGGAAGGCCTCCCCCTCACACTACACACCAGAGAATCTAAGCCCTTCGTCTTGCACGTGCCCGAGAGCTGGGCACCCCGTCCTTGCTCTGCCAGGTACTCATCACCTGTAGGATCACTGCTACCCGTCATGGAGCTCCCTATCTGCACAGGTCTGCCAGGACACAATGGGCTAAACCAACGAGACAAGAACAGTTCAGAGGAAAAACAAAGCACTAACACCTCCCCAGCAGCTGGAAAACACCTCTCTGACACACCACTTCCATTCTTCACTCGTCTGGCCTGCATGCCACTGTGTCTAAGGTGCCTCAGCCACGCCAAAAGTAAAATTTCACCAGCTTTTCTGAGCAAATTTGGGGTAAAACACATCAAAACTTTCCTACATATGTACAGGACAAATTTCCTGAAAAAGCCTCAAATTCTTCCACCAGATAGCTTACCAGGGCACTTCTTTCTAGTATTGCTATTGGCTTCTCTGTAGTAGTAAGCAAGTTCAGCTTTGCTGCTGCTGCTAAGGTGACAATCTGCAAGCCCACGGTTGAGGTAACAGACAGGTGAGTCAGAGGGGTTTTCCCCCCCATGTTGGGGCTCAGCACTGTGACGCAGGAATAGTCTCCGGCCGTGCTCCCCAGGTACTGGAGCAGGGGTGGGACAAGGCAATCCAAGAGCAGGAAGGTTTGAAGGAAGAAAGCACTTAGTAGATTTTTTCTCTCTAGTTTCTCAGATCGATGTATTTCTCGCTCTTCAGTTTGCCAAAACAGAAAGGGGGAGGGAGAGGGAAAAGCAGTTAGGGGTAAACCAGGTCCTCTACTGCAGGTGGCTGCGTGCAGATAGCAATGTGATGGGGCAGAGCTGCCAGCCCAGGTCACCCGACCACCCGCGTTGGCCAAGCATCCATCCCAGGGCAAGGGGCAGTGAGCAAGAGCCACGTGGGCAGCAGAACCAGGGTGGAGTTATCTCTTGGCCTAAGGCAAATAAAACCACGGGTGCTACAACCCACGGCTCCACAAGACACGCAAGCGTGGCAACGGTCCAGCACCGATGATGTGAATAGTTTCTCAAGTGCCTGGTGGGTGTCTAGCCCAGGTGAGACATAAACATGCAGCCCAGGAGACTCATCTCATCCTGCACTAAGAGCTTTGTTTCAGGGCAGGGCCCATCCCTGCAGCCTCCACTCTGACTCCTGGCCAGAGATGTTTCTGTAGCTCCTTCTCCCTGAGCCTCCCCGGGAAGCCCAGCTCCTGCTCCAAGGAGCTCGGGAGGAGGCAGTGCCAGCCAGGCTGGGCAGTGGGCAGTGTGCTCCCAGGAGGTGTCAGGCTGGCAGAGAGCCGAGCTGGACGTGCACAGGGTGCTCCTACTTCGGAGCAAGGAACTGTGGCTTTGTCACCTCCCCTCCCTCCCACGGCCCCTCTCGAGCGCTGGTGATGGATGATGGCGGCCCATGCAGGGTGGGGAGTGCTGGGAGAGGAGCTTGCAGAGAAGAGAAAAGCATTCCCTTGACATACCCCCCTACGCTCCTCATCTCCACTCCCAGCCCCAGGAGCAGCCCTGGCCCTTGGGAAGGGCAGTGCCCGACGCTCTGGCCTACCTGGTCAGCGGCAGGTCTCTTCTCACCGTTGGCACCCTGCAGGAGCCCCGCCTCTTCAGAAAGCTTATCTGACTTAACTTCAACTACAATCTTGTCTTTACGTGCCTCTGGCTTTGTGCTAGGGGAGGGAGGTGACAATTTTGAGACATGTTTGCGATACCACAGGGCGCATGGCCGGATGAGCAAGGCCAAGCCCTAGGGCTCCATCTCAGGGGATGAGCAGGGCCAGGGCAGAGGAAGGCCAGGGGTGAAAGAGGCTCCGGCTCAGAGAAAGCTTTGGGCTGCCCAGTCCCTCCCGGGGGAGGGCTCCCTTGGCTGCTCTACCCCTCTGTTGTCCTCCTCATCACCTTCCTGCACAGACAGGGTGAGCACTGCGGACCCCAGGCTGTGGGAAGCTGGAAGCACTGCTGAGACCCCAACGCGGTGCCCCCCCAAAGGCCACACTATTGCCTCCCTCCACGTAGGGCAGGGAGCAGCTGGTGCAATGAGATGGGAAGCATGAGTGACAGCAAGCACCTCTGGCCCCAAGGGCTCCCTGGGAGGGTGGGTGGCAGTGCTTACATGTCCTGTTTCCCAGCGCGGCCACACGGGATCTTGCCTTTCTTGTGCAGGAAATAGATGACAGACCCCAGCACAGCTACCACGAGGATGCAGACAATGATCGCCACAATGATCACCCCTTTGCTCTCTGGTGTCTTTTGATCTAAACACAACGGGAGAATAAGTAGTTAATGGCTGTCTCACGCTGATGCTCTCCAGCTTCTGCATTACTACACCCTCGCAGGGGCAAGGAAAGGACTTCTTCCCCCAAGGAAGCACCACAGGGACTCCAGTTCCTGGTGCTTCTTCAGCAGCCTGCAGGATGCAGATGTCAGTGCAAAAATGCTCTGTTAGGGCAGTTTCTGTGTGAATGCACTGCGCATTCTGGCTGCCATGCCCTTGCATGCCACAGGATGGCTCACAGGTTTCCTGCAAGACATCAGGCCATCCCTTTGCTTCCTTGTCCAGCGGGCTTGGGCTGCAGGAAGCTGCAGTTGAAAGCCCCTCTGGGCTAGGGGCTGAGGACAAGCAGGCAGCTCTCACAGCACTGCAGGAACAGGTGGAGACAGAGCCCCCCTGTCCCTGGGGGCAGCGAGAGAGGCAGTGCAAGAGCCAGCAGTGAGGCTCCCTCCACGCGAGCACGACTCCAACAAGCTCCTGCCAGAGCCTGGGCTGCCGACACATGCACCCAGCAGCGTGGAGACTGACCTTTTCTGACGGACTCCACTGGCAGAGCA